CACAATTAAATTATTCCCCCTCCCAAAAAAATAGACAGGTAAGCAGCAACTGACACTCCATTACAATATCTTCCAAGAACTAGAGAATGTATCTTTTCTTTTATGTACACCGAAAGCATTTGCACCAAGACAAATTCCTTGTGTGTCCAATCACACTTGGCCAATAAAGAATTATATTCTATTCTATTTTTAGCCCACATGCACTGTGCATAGTATAGCCTGGTAAAATTTGAAGTACATTAAATTATTTCAAAGTAAATTTCTTACAAGAGGCTTGTTAAAGCTTTGGAATTTTATGAGATGGGACAAAGAAAACATGTAAAGAACTCAAGTTCTAAGGTATTATTTGATCAAATTGTTAAAAATAAAAGAAAGTTGGTTTATTTGATCAAGGTTAAAATAGATAATGTTTAGTAACCCTTAATTGAATTTTGTTGAAACAATGAGGCCTTAAGAATTTGTTTATAGGAGATGTAATATGGGAAGAAGTGACTGTTTATTGCATATTAAGAGAAGAGTTCATATCCATTATGGTGAAGAGTGAAGTCAATTCTTTACATATTTCTTTTCTTTTTCTTTACTACCGTATATTATTTTTCATGCTTTTTTCTTTTTTTCTTTTAAGTTTGTATTAATTTTTAAAATTAATTAAAAACTAATTTCTGATTTAGTCTGAAGCTCATTAAATACGGTCATTCCAAATGCCTAGTTCTATCACCAGGATATTTTTTATACAACAGCAAATTAAAATGTAATCAAGAATATGTGTTAGCAACACACTGCACCATTAAACCACTAAAAACCTACCCTTCCAAGAATTAAATCTAAATCCAGTCCAATAATAATAAAAATCAATATCCTTCTACCAACACACAATAAGTCTCTATAATTTATCTCAGTGTAAACAAAACCAAAAAAGAGTACAGATACAAACTGTTTACCAACCGCCTTATTCAGCAACCATTCTAAGTTACAAAAGTGCTGACATAATGTTGTGACCAATGCCTGTATTTAATGAACTTCCCAGAATCCCTCACTCACATAATTGCCATTCAGTACCTGTTGTCCTGTACCTGACCTATTGTTTCCCTGCCCCCTTAGAGAGTGGAGTGTTTGGGGAGGAGAAGATAACAAGAGAGTAAGTAAGCACAGGGTGAGGAATAGTGGAAGCTGGGAGTTTTAAGTGTGCTACCCAATCCCCACTGTGTTATTTTCTTGTAATCTTTTCTTCTTCAATCATTCTGAGGAGGTTGGATTGCCTATAGAGATTCCCTTTTTTCTCCCCCCCCCCCCCATTTGTTTATGCATTCTCTCTGCTCTGCAGGGAGAGGGGGAGGAATCTCTTCTGTGTCTGACCCATTATTTTTTCTCCTGCCCCCTCCCCTGAGTAGAGAGATTGGAGAAAAAGTGATTACAAGAGATTATGTGGATACACACAATGGAGAATACATGAGGATTTCTGTTCCACACTCCTTTCAATGTGTATTCCCTATTGTGTACTCACTTACTCTCTTGCAATCCCTTCCTCATCAATGAATATATATCAAACGTTAATTCTCTTCTTGCTAATTAACTCAGTGCTGGGGTAAGCATTCCAAAAGTTGGCAGGGAGGGCAGGGGAAAGAGAGCACATGACATTCATGATCATGTGTTTTCCCACCTAGCTGCCACTTCACCAAATGACAGAGCTATCTCAATTATGGTCATTAAACAAGAACTACATTTAACAGAGGCCTGGTTAATTATACCCAACTTAATGCCAGGTAACAAAATAAAAATCCAGACATTAATGAAATATTAGTGAAACAGCACTAATAGAAAATAACAAAGGGGAACAAAAATTACCACATATTAGATGCAGGAAAAAACTTTGCAATTTGTATTTAGACAAATACTAAGATGCAAAATAAAATAAAATATCTCACAAAAACAATAAAAGCTACATAGTATAAGGTATTAATTAGTATAGAAGACAATCAATACACTATTAATAGATCCAGCACAGCAGATGAAACATGCTGATACACAAAAAGAAACAAAATACTAAATACAAATAACACCAAGAATATGCCCTGATATTAGAGCAATACAAAATGACTGCATTGTTTTCTCCAAAAGATACTAGCTAACAACATCTCCTTATCAACTATATATCTATGTTCACCACTGTAGGATTACATTAGTATACCAAGTTTACTGATTACTTGATTAGTATACCAAGATTACTAATTTTAATTTCTTCTTCTAGTCAAAATCTCCAATAACAGCAAAAAAAAAAAAAAAGAAGTCTCATACCATTTGATAATTAACACAAGCAGAAAGGTTTTATTGTTTGCTTTCTGTAACCCACTGTTTTAATTTTTATGAACCCCCCTGGAATCTCATTTATTCAGTTTGTATACCACACAACTCCTCACCACTATGTTGAAGCAAATGACAGGTTTGGAGATACACTTTATGTTTAAGCCTGGCATTTGCTTTGCAGTACTGTTTTCTTGTTTGTTTTTTCAAAAAGAAGTAGAAATACTGTAGACATCTTTGCAAAATCCATCTTTGCAAAAGCCAGTTGGCATATAGTTACCCCTAGGAAATGGAGACTGAAGATTTAATCCACTATGTAAACACAGCCATTGCAAAATAAAACATTAATATCAATTTATTTTTTTTAAAAAAAGCAATCACAGGCAAAGATCAGAAAGAACTTCCACTAGCTGAACATTAACAGAAAATAATAAGGGTTTATTATTTTAAATAACTATTCAAAGACTTTAGAGACAAGTCACTATCTCACTATGGTTTGTCAAAATTGACTACAAATCTTCTGAGATCTGCTATCCCTGTGCTTTTTAGAGCAGGACGCTTATGTGGGGTCTAAAGGTAGGAGTGGTAAGCATCTGACAAGCCAACATTTCTTAATCCCATTTTACAGTCTGTCCCCCCCAATGCCCTATCTAATCTCCCTGGAACCCAAAGCTTCCAATTTCCATTCTTGCCCTTGAAGCAGAGGGGAAGGCTTTTCTCCTTCTTGTGATATCACCTCATTCAATAACCTTCCAGAATATCAGAAAATAAATCTTAGGCTCCCAACCAGGATATATTGCTCAGTGTAACACATGATGATTAGCCTATGTATTTAACAAAGGGAAATGGAAGATGGCCTGAAATTTACCTCTCATTTTTCCTAGCTCTCTTCAGCTGCTGAACATAAGCACAGCATTTAAATGTAAGGAACTGTAGGCAAAGATTAGAGGATGGAACTCCAGGGGAAGAAGTGATAGCAAGAAATGGTATGGCTCTAGCTTCAATCATCTTCAGTACCAGAGACAAATGTGGGTCAATGTAGAAAAATGAGAAAGATTAATGCTATTCCTTCATTTCAGTTCTGTCCATCTTTTTCCCCCCAGAGGGCATGATAACATCATTATCATAACAAGTGGGGATGGAAAGAAAGAATCACCAAGACTTGCATAATACAAGGTAAATTCAGTGAAATTGCCAAGCAGAAATTGCTCATACAAATGTACAAGCCAAGCTGTTCAGGGAGAAAAATTGACAGCCCCTCAGGCACACGTTTGAATTGTATCTTCATCCATGCTAGAGACCTATTTACAATTCTCCCAAGAAATAGATTCCTTACTAAACCCAAGAATATTTATTTTCCTTGACAAGACCGGAGCCACTGCTTCACCTTCAGAAAGCAGGTGCTTTTCCTGCTGCAGAGAGTGGCATAAACTCATCAAACATGAGATAATTTTGCCAGTTTTCTTTCACTTGAAATGAAATCCTGATGGATGATAGCCTCATCAGCTAAGCAGCCCTCACAGAGGAACAAAGCACCAGAACTTTAGTAGAACGCCACTATCTACACATCACTTGGGAGGTTCAATATAAAACAATAATGGTTTTATATAACAATTATAACTGGACAAAGCACTAAAGGGATGTTTTATTTTGACAACATTTTATCAGAAGCACCTTTTTGAAATTTCCAAGCAAAGTCCTCCTGCTTCTACAGAGTCAAGAGAAGCTGCCATTTTGATGCTTTCATAACCTCTTCTATCATTTTTTTTTTTTAGCTACAAAAAATACTAGAAGTGGCTTATATGTATGTGCAATGCATTGTAGAAACCTCTCTCTACTGGAAATGATGGAGGAGGATCCTGGAGCAATACAGTGTCTTGATGAGGCAAATATTTGAGGCCTCTATGTCTCAATGCCTCAATGGACTGGACATCATCCATGTTCACCACACGCAGGTGTAATAATACTGTGGCCATGTATGATACAACATCACAATTTTTCCCTGTTGCAAACTTAATAAATATGTTCACCAATCCACATGCAATTATGGACAATTACTACCTAAGATCAAAGTACTTTTAATTAACAGGCCAACATCTTCATGAAATGCCCATACCTAAAATATATTAAGTATTCAAAATGATTCAACAATTTGAATCACTGCTTCCAGTCAAACTGACAGGTCAAATCAAACCAATAATATAAACTGAGCTAATTTAACATCTCAAATCAAATCTTGGATAATTGACACATAAATAATAAAAACTACAAGATGTGGACACCTAACTACTGTCATTCTGAGGCATATTATCTTCACACCAAGCACATCTGCAAAGCAGAGTTTTATTTTTATAGTAGAACTAAAGACCAGATTCTTCAGTCAACAACTGCTGCCTTTAACTATAGTTGCAATAGCTTCCTTGACCCAAATAACTTCATTTTGATAAAACTAAACAGAGATATCTTAGCAAAAACTATCTCAATGCCCACAAAATATAATTATGTTCACTCTGGAGATAACATAAACTGTTCTTTGGTGATTTCTAAAATTATCTTGCAATGCTTGAGAAAAACCTTATCAGATTATGAAATAGTAGCTAAAATTTTAAAACATGCTAAGGAAAGATTGGACCTTTTGTTGTTAGTGATATTCCATTCCAAAAAAATGAAATTCAATTAAAGGATAATTAAATACTTACTCAGTCTCCAGTTAATGTCCTGGATTGTGTATCTATTCAGATGCTTGGTAGACACTAAAAGAAAGAAAATAAGATAAAAAATAGAGGATGTTTAGTAACATTCTTAAAAACAATAGAATTGTGTTTTCTCTAGATGTTGTTATAGTTAACATGCCTGTCTCCTATTTGTTAAAGATAAATCACATCCAGTATGTGAGTTCGTGTGACTCGAGTATTTTTTATGATCTGTTAACTATGACTTCCAAAATGTGGTTTCCACACTTTTTTTTAAAGGAATCCTGGAATCACACAAAAGATTCCCCATTAACACACCTTGGAGTTTTGGTGGTGCCAATGCTCAAAACCAATTCAGTAGGAAATTATAATGTAACACGAAAATAGGATTAACTGAGTTGTATTGTCTCAAAAATGCTTCCTTCCCTTCAAAGAGAAACCACTATCCCACTTCACTTACATGTATGGTGTGGCAAACCACTTTACGTCATTCCATTCACTATGGCTCTTATAGCATCAGCTAGCAAAAGCACAACCATCCCTGATGTAGAGAACCTAGAATATGTATCTGTCCTTAGTCATCCCAAGATATTCTTTACCTGATATATAAATCATGTATACATATACAAACATGTAAAATATGTATAACAGATCTTTCATCCCCTGATAATTCTACCCACTTTGTCAGTTGCATGCATAACATAGTTTAAAAGGTATTATTTTCATCTATCCATTAATTTATTATCATGTTCAAATATGACCAATATCCAAAGTATTTTATGGAGGAAACACTAATGCAACACTAATGTGACACAGGGATACTCATAACAGTATAATGCTTAAATGTTAGCAATCTCCTATTTACTACAGCTTATTATACTTATTGTTATCAGAATTGTAAGTAGAATACCTCTGCATTGCGTAAAGGCACTATCAGAATTGAGTCCGGCATAAACAATCACCTTTCAACATATGAGAACTTTTCTAGGCTGGACAACAAATAGTATACCACACATTCCAATTTTATTTTCACGTCTTACCTTCTCATTATGTATATAACTGCATTACTTTTGCCAAGTATTCCCTAAGGAGATGCTGGAAAGCAACATTTGACCTCTTGTAGGCATTGCAGATTACAATGCAGAAGCCACAAATAATGCTGCAAAAAATGGCTGTAAATTAGGCACAGTCACATGATGACCTGCTTAACAACCATTGTGACTTATGGCTATAATTGTGGGCTCAATTATGGTCAAAAGCCAAGGACTACCTGTAATTTGCATCATTTTCATTGACTATCTCTCATTGATTATATCTCTCAGTAACATACCTGATGATTCTCTTTGCTATTATCCTACAATATCACAACTGTTTTTCCATTCATCCAACATTCACTACATGCTACTGTCAATCCAATGTACCTAATGTGTATTCTTAGAAAAGAACAAACACTGGTAATTACTACAGATGGTGTACACTGGAATGTGTAATGAAGAATGTCCACATGAACGTTTGGAAAAATGAATGCAAAGGTCACCTTAATAGCTGTTTTACAGCATTATACAGAGGTTTCTATACACAGAAAGCAGCTAAATCTATCACATACTTTTTTAAAAATTTCAAAATGATACATTACTTATTTACTCTGCCTTAATTTTGCTAGCCATAGGGAGTGGCAAAAATGTTCCACCGGACATACTTATCATCTCAGTTCTTAATAAACTGTTTATTAAGCAAAGAATATGTGTATGCAATGTAAAAAGTAAATAGAGAACAGTAATTTGATGTTGTCCCAGTGTTATGGATTAAATCTGCTTTACCTCTTTGCTAGTAGAGCAAGTGGGCAGGTATTCAGGGCACTTTAAAGCAAAATGTTTAGTGCTTCACAAACCTTTAAGAATAACAGAATAGCAGAGTTGGAAGGGACCTTGGAGGTCTTGGAGGAACAACCTTCTCTGTTCAGGCAGGAAACACTATACCATTTCTGACAAATGGTTGTCCAATATCTTCTTAAAAACCTCCAGTGTTGGAGGACCCACAAATTCCACAGGCAAGTCATTCCACTGATTACTGTTTCTAATTGTTCAAATTTTTGACCCAACTACCTCTTTTGGGGTCTTGAATAATTTTATTACTCTACCAAAAAAAAAAAACACAGAACTGACCCAAGACTTGTTTTACACAATTATCTCTGCAATAGCAATCCCAAACTGGATTCTTGATTCACAAACAAGCAATTGTTCCATTATCACAAGGATACAGTAAGCCTAAATTACCTCCCAGTTTAAGAAACACTGGTCTGGAGGATGGCTTTAAAAACACATTTTAAGTAGAAAAATACAAAGCAAAACTTGTGCCCAGTATCAAATTCTTCACTTGTGCAGAATTTCAGAGCATGCTCCTCTTAAAACAGTGGTAGAAAGGAAAACAAAAAAAAAATAAAGGTTGTATCTAACACTAGCAAGGAGGCAGGTAGTACAGTGCAAGTCATTATCTGATTGGCAAGCCCAGCAAGTCCTGATATTCCAGTTCTCCTGAGTCTCTCTACAAGCAAAGCCTGCCAACTCTATTCTAAAAACATAGCAACCTACATACAAAGACAAGTAAATACATCACTAAAATAGTTCTTCCGCTGTGCAAGCCACAGAATACCTAAGTACAATGCATCAACCACAGCACTCCCTTAGTATAATATTTACAGGGAAATCAGGAATAGAAATGACAGTTAAACAGGTCATGTATCCGAGAAAATATGTTCATATCTGTGTGAGAGTCCTTTGTCATATTTTCCTTTGCTTTCCTCTGCTGCTGCGGCTATCGCTTTCTTGAGATCTCTGCTGTTTTTGTATTTTGCTGTTATGCTGTTTTGAGAATATTGCCAAAAAAGTACTGATAAATCACAGTGAATAAAATAGTTCCAACTTTCTTTCCTGATCAGATTTTACTCAAGCCAATGCTATTCGGCCAAGAGATTATGGGAGTTCAATACATCTGTAAGGGTTCAAGTTGAAAAAGACTGCTATAAATCCATAATCCTTGCCCTGATTACAATTACGTCTAGCAGTTTTCAACTCAGGAAAGGTCTTGCATACTCAAATAGTGTCTGTGTTCTGCAAAATCTGGAGGACAGTAGGTAACAGTAAAGGGAAAAATTCTTTGCTGCCATTTAGTGGTTGTTTGATTTATGCAGTCTACGTGTTCATTTAAAAAAATAGTTAAAATTTAGCTAAAAGTTTACTTCTTGACCGATTTGTTTCAATTCCTAAATATGCAGAAGCTTTGCAGCTGAAGCACCCTTTTCTCTTCTGAAAACAGCCCACAGCAATGCTAGAAAACATCCTTCTTCTAATGATCATGAATTACCTGCTTATTCCACTTTTTAACAAGACATAAGCAAAGAGCCTCTCTACAAGTGCTGAAATTTGAAAATGTGTTGTACAAGTAATTGTTTCACGAGCTATTTTTGTTTACATGTTCAGATATGCTCCAATTATCTTATGTTTCACTCCTTAAAAATAATTCAATAAACTCAACTCAAAAGGCATCATGCATCCAAATTCCTGGGCTAAACTTTTGTGATTAAATACCAGATTTCATTGCAAATGTCTTTTTTCCCTAATAATTTATTCAAATAGTTTGGGAGTAATTTTCTCTAGTTGTTCCCAAATAATTTTAAGATAGAAGATAGAAACTTAAATACAAATACTTTCTAGTATTTAAACAAGGAGCAATCCTCACAGGCAGAAGGAGCAATCATCACAGTGTGAACCAATATAGCAACCAATCATAAGAAATATATAAGGCACTTCCTTAATGTAGCTATAAAACTGTAAACATTCTAGGATATAATTACAATCAGGACATATTCTTCCTCTTTGCCTTATGGTCCTTCATCAACTAAATTCAGCAAGAGAAAGCTCCAAATTCTTTTTCCTTGGAGCAAGAATGTCAATCAGTAGAGCCTTTTTGGTTGAATCATCAATGTTGAAGATAACACAACCTCCATGACCAAAGATGTTTACCAGGTACAGGCACTATTAATGAGACATCATTTCTTAAAATGAAATGTCAAACATTCCTTGAATCTCTTGTTTCATAACTGATCTGACTTACACGGATTGTTACCTTAGATTAATACTGTTTGATTAATGCTTTAACTACATTTTGAGGTTGTCCTTGCTACAACTAATTATCACTGAAAAGATAAATGTCCTTCCATCGCAAGGAAGACAACTACCCACCCTGTATCTGCTTTTCCAAGTTTCATTGCTTTGAAGGAGAATTATTAAGTAACTCTTGAAGTTGGAAAAACATGATGAAAGGTTACTCCCACTAATTACAATCACAACAGAGCTATCAGTCCAGCAATTTTTTCTCTATACCCACAACTAAACTGCATACCATTATAAAATGAGTCCTTAGTATAATAAAGAAGATAAGTCACTAATTTCCAGAGGGATTTTAGTACCCTGTGATCATAAATTTATGGAAAACAACTCTGGCATTTAAGAATGCTTTATTACAAACCAGAAATAATTAGAGGAATTATCTGGAAAAGCTTTGATTTTTTTTCCTACCATGGTCCTGATTTTGAATGTATGGAAGGCAACTGGAATCTTCATTAATTACACTAAAATTAGCTTGAAATTTAAATCCTACATTATGGATTTAATTGCCACTGGACCTGAAATGAGTTCCCAAATTTGGGAGCGGGGGTCTCAAAACAACAGTTTACCAGATGTTGAAATGTCACAAATTTAGCTTTTGTGTTAAAGACACATAATTTCATATATGTCTTTAATGTATAACTTAACCTAATCACCATCTAAAATCACACTATCCAAATGGCCAAGGCAGTAGGAGGCCTATACATTTTCTAAGTAAATAATAAACTCAAATGTTGGAAGCACAAAAGTTGCTTTATTATTTGTTCAAAATTTTATACTCTTGAGGACAAACAGACCCAACAAATGGCAAGACGTAGCTGCTCTTGTCCAGATATGGAAGCTAAGGAAGTCCAGGCCAAGTAAGAATTTGGATGGATCAAGTGCCCTATTGGAGA